ACAGTAGAGAGACATCGAGACTGTCTTCTCTTGTATTGATTTTCAAATTTCACTGTTTGTTCCAGTTTTTGTCTTTTAGACACATATCTGTAACTAAAGCTGTTAATGTGAAGAGAAATATTTCAAGTAAAATCAAATTGATAAAATTTTGTCTGGAATTTAAAACTATTTATTACATGCTTTTCGGTGGTTTATAGAAATATATCAGTGGTTTAAAACTGGTAATTTCACTGTTTGAAACAGTGAAATTACCACTTTGATAATTTCACTGTTTTGAATTTAAGCCCCTTACGTTGTTTCAGTGAAATACCAGCGTGCACAGTACTGGGTACCAACTTAATGACGTGACGTCGTAAATGATGTCACATTGTATTATTATTTGGCGCGCTTTTCATTCAATATTAGGTTTAATGTCTTTTTAAAACGTTTTTTTTCATGTAATAAAAAGAAAATTTGTTTAGTTTAGTGTAAGATCGAAATATATTTCACCTTGTGAACACCAAAAGTTCATATTTCACTCGTGGCTGCGCCACTCGTGAAATATACATTTTGGTGCTCACTCGGTGAAATATATTCCGATCTTACACTTAACTAAACAAATATCCTCTATATATTTGTAAATTGTTTCAAAGTACAGGGTATATGTAGAAATTATCATTTTACAAAACAGACAAAAAGATCATTGTCGTGTGTTTCAATAAACAAATTTCGTATTGGCTGTTGCACATTAAACTTTAATGGTTGGATCTCTGTAATTATTGGAGCGAATAATTATGCAGCCAGACAGCTCAGTCGGAAGAGCTGCAGTACCATATAACAAGGGTCCCAGGTTTGAGTCCTGGTCATTTCCCTCACCCTGCAACATTTTGCTCCCAACTGGAAACCATGCTTTTAAGTATATAGCTCTGTCAGTAAATATTGTTCTCTGTTCATATAAGAAATTAGAGAACAAATTTCAATATAGAAGGGGTGTAAATCAAGGGCTAGACCAGTTCTCTTAAATGGGGACACTCACTCCCACAGATTGTTGTTGTAGTTGGATAGCTGTTAAGAGCCCGAGTACAGTATTCAGAGGGTCCGGGGGGCCCTGTCAGGCTGAATACTTTTCAAACCATATGATATTTTGTTAAGTGAACATTTCTAGACTGTGACATTGACTTTATACTACTGAATGCACAACTTTAGCCTATATTGATGCCAAAAACACCTCAACAGTTCTTAAATCTAATGCTCGGCCTCAAGTCCAAAAATTCAGCAGGAGGGAAGGGCTGATTTTATACCTCTGACACAATTTATAGAATATTCTTAGGTTAGCCTAATGATTTATTTCCTTCCCCGCTTTGTTACCATAATAATTCCATATATCTGCAATAATTGATCCACCACTGATAAACAACCACCCATAAACAACCAATAAATCTATAATTATTGATGAATCATCAATATATACATAATTATATCAATATTTATCCATTGTTGACAAGACTTTTATCAGCTCCATTTAAGAATGACTCAGTAATTTAATCATTAATGCCAAAACTAATGAAATATTCAAGATCATGCATTGGTACCTTAATTATTTAACTCATTTCTAATCTATTATTCGAAGTAACTGCAGCGTATATTAGATATCTCGTACTTAACCATTCAAGAATTATTACTAGATTTAATAGTTGTCTTATCTATAATTCAAAACTACAGAAGTTTTAAGTTTTTATCAGTTTTCCTATCTGAGTCCTGATGGGGGTGGTCACAGTTAAACCATCATAAAATAATGACATGTGAGATCAACTGAGATCAACCTGCACTTAAAAACAGCCTCTACTTAAAAACAGCCTGCACTTAAAAACAGCCTGCACTTAAATACAGCCTGCACTTAAATACAGCCTCAACTTAAATACAGCCTGCACTTAGAAACAGCCTGCACTTAGAAACAGCCTGCACTTAAATACAGCCTGCACTTAAATACAGCCTGCATGCATTTAAATACAGCCCGCACTTAAATACAGCCTGAACTTAAATACAGCCTCCACTTAAATACAGCCTGCACTTAGAAACAGCCTGCACTTAAATACAGCCTGCACTTAGAAACAACCTGCACTTAAATACAGCCTGCACTTAAATACAGCCTGCATGCATTTAAATACAGCCTGCACTTAAATACAGCCTGAACTTAAATACAGCCTCCACTTAAATACAGCCAGCACTTAAATACAGCCAGCACTTAGAAACAACCTGCACTTAAATACAACCTGCACTTAGAAACAACCTGCACTTAAATACAGCCTGCACTTAAATACAGCCTGCACTTAAATACAGCCTGCACTTAGAAACAACCTGCACTTAGAAACAACCTGCACTTAAATACAGCCTCCACTTAAATACAGCCTGCACTTAGAAACAACCTGCATTTAAAATGATCATCTTTTCATTCTTAGTATTTAAAACATTTTGAAAGCCTTTAAAACTATGCTTGTGTGTGACATCACGGTGCCCACTGCCTCGATTCCCACTGCCTCGTACCTTTAGTTTAAATATGACAGTTCTTATTACATTGTTTACCAGGGACTATCACATTTACAACCATAAGTTTAATCGGGGACCTATACCTTTATATAAACGTATAGCTGTTATACCAGTGTTTATCAGGGAAAACAGAAGCTCTCATTATTTCTACCCACTCATTACTTCTGTTACTTAATTAACTTAATTACCTGAATTTATAATTAAAATCAGTTAGTTGCCATGGAAACAGAATTTATTTTCACACCATCAGCCCAATACGCCAATGTTTTTAATCAATAGGTAATGAAAAAGCATAACAAAAACATATGATGTTAACTTGAAACTGATCCTGTTTATTTTACAAGAGCAAGTGTTTTTGTTAATGATGATTAATGATAAAATATATCCTAAAGTTCATCATGACATATGGTATGATTACAAGGTTATATTGATATATCTATTCAAGTCCCAGTTTCAGATAATATTAAGGTCCCAAGATGCATTTCTGTAATTATATAATTCAAATATGAAGTCAAATATGCTCAAGTAAGTTTTCCCTTTGGTCATTTTTATCTATATTTTTTTGACTCTTTCTCTTTTGGAAGCAGCTTGTTTGTTTGTTTGTTTGTTTCATTTTACGCCTTTTTCCAACAGTATTTCAGTCATATAGGCGGGTAGTTTCCTAACCATCGTTCCTGGAGAGTTACACCAGTACTAGACTACCTTCCTCCGCGCTAAACTACCATAGCATCTCCCGGGGATCGAACCCACGCCAGAGAGGTAACTGGATTAGAAGTCATCGACTCTAACCCCTCGACCACGGAGGCGGTTTTGGAAGCAGCTTTTCAGCAACATTTTATGCTTTAAATGTATATGTACAACATTTTATGCTTTAAATGGATATACATATATTTTATGCTTTAAATGGATATACGTACATTTTATCCTTTAAATGGATATACGTATAGTTTATCCTTTATATGGATATACGTATAGTTTATCCTTTATATGGATATACGTATAGTTTATCCTTTATATGGATATACGTATAGTTTATCCTTTATATGGATATACGTATAGTTTATCCTTTATATGGATATACGTATAGTTTATCCTTTATATGGATATACGTATAGTTTATCCTTTATATGGATATACGTATAGTTTATCCTTTATATGGATATACGTATAGTTTATCCTTTATATGGATATACGTACATTTTATCCTTTATATGGATATACGTACATTTTATCCTTTATATGGATATACGTACATTTTATCCTTTATATGGATATACGTACATTTTATCCTTTATATGGATATACGTACATTTTATGCTTTAAATGGATATACATATATTTTATGCTTTAAATGGATATGCATACAACACAAGTGAAAAAAAGTGTTAAATTAGGCGATAATTAACTAAAACAGATTCAGTTGTGTTTGCTTGAGAATTTTTCATGAAGTAACTAATTATGAAAGTGCAGATATTATGGCAGACAAATAAAAAGAAGATATCAAAAGAAAATGGTCGTCTAATTTCTACATTCTCATCTAATTGTCTATATAGCAGACGGCACAGAGTAGACAAGAATAAGTGTGACAATATATTTCCTGTCACAGTTTTTGGTATGTAGGCTGTACACCAGACAGACATTGTCACATTATCACAGTATTGATTAGATAATACAGTCACAAGTTAATCATTATTAGTCCCTAATTACATCATTAAGCATAATTTCTTATTCACAACACAGAATGATTTACTTTACAAAATATCTTCTAGGTATAAGATGCAACTTATCTGGAGAGACGGAGTATATTTATGCTAAATTTCTGTTGGTATAAGAATGTATTTTAAACATTTATGCAAATGTTTTCTGTATAATTATTGTAAAGAACACTGTCAAATAATCTAGAAATATAAATATATTTCTTTCAATTTCTTGGTATTTTTGTTATACTGCTTTTAAAATTTTCAATTTGGTTGTGTTGGACAAATTTGGCCATGTTCGACAACCTTCAAGTTTCCACATTTCACTTTAATATTAAGATTTTCATATCAAAATAACAAATGATGGTTAAACTGGACAAACATGTAATTTATTTCTGCTGGCAGCAACTGGTTCTACCCAAACAACCAGTGCAGACCAAGATTAGCCAGCATATTAGTGCCATTAGATCATGGTCTGCACTGTTGACTATTCAGACACTTCTTATTTCGAAACGTTCCCCTAAAATTTGTGAATGGTTTTGTCCAGATTTAAAGATGGAAAAGCCCATTTAAGATTTTTAGACATGTAAGGATGAAACAGCTGTAACTGTGAGAGGACATGTACTTTTTGCACGTAATTCTTGCTGTGATTATATCACTTTAACATCTTTAATATACATGATGAGGCTGCGATAAATAAACATGATAAACAATAAATATAAAACCTGTTCAATGATTGGCAAAGTGCAGCTATACCACATTCACAGCTATACATACCTGTTGAGTTATGTCTGTTTTTTGTTGTTTTATTGCTTTAACAAACTGTCTTTATACATCACAAAATACATCCACATGATAATTCCTGTAAGAAAACACACCAACACCTAGTAATGAGATAATTCACAGGCTCTGAAATTACCACAAATACTTCAATAAGCACACATTTATATAATATGCATCATGAATGGAAATGCATTTTCAATCTTTAGCTAGTTTTTCTACCATACACTTATCAATAAACATAACATAACTATGCAAATACTGAAAATCAGATTCTCCCATAAATCAATTGTCTTTCCGTAAACTGTAGACAATAAAACCACCACATGCAAACTTAATACACCAAACAGAAGAAAATTCAATAATTTGGTTTCATACAGTATCCGATTTTAATGAACACACATGGCTTAATTAGCAGATATTGACTCTATCGGCCAGGTGTTTCCTTACACCTGAAATAATGTACACAGTAAAATCTATAACAATTCTCAATGCAGCAGTCTCCAGGATTGTTTTTCCTGATTTTTTTTAGATTTAAATCTTTAAAGTACAGCAGGTGTACAAATAAATTGATTTACCCAAGTATACAAGGTATATCACACTCCACTTAATTTCTCCATGTTTAATGTATAACAACTGTTAGCAGAGAAAATTACCAATAGGGTAGAAATATCATATTTTGACAGTTACATGTACTTGTTTCGTAAACATTAACTTATAAAGTTCTTAAAACTATTGATAAAAATTTATGATCTTGATCCTAAATTGATCCTCATTTTGATCCTATTATTTTTGAATTTGTTTTGTAATTAGTTGATTTTATCCCAAAATAGGTTGGTTTCTTTACAAATAAGCAATTATTTACAATTCGAATATGTACCATTTAATTCTAGCATAACACGATCAATTTTAGTTTTATAAAACAATGAAAATAAAATCAGGATCACCTGATCCTAATCCTGATCTTTTCTTTGTGAACACGGGGCCTGAAATAATGTACACAGTAAAATCTATAGCAATTCTCAATGCAGCAGTCTCCAGGATGGTGTTTCTTCCTGATTTTTTTTAGATTTAAATCTTTAAAGTACAGCAGGTGTACAAATAAAGTGATTTACCCAAGTATACATTGTATATCACACTCCTGTACTGAAAAACAGAGCAAATGACCCTTAGTCTGATAGTAATAGTAATAGGGTAGAAATAATGATAATTTCTTTCATATTTTGACAGTTACATGTACTTGTTTCGTAAACATTAACTTATAAAGTTCTTAAAACTATTGATAAAAATTTATTATTTTCTATATTTTGTTTTGTTTTTGTTCTGGAGATTTGCACCTTCATCTCTTGTCCTTGAAGCTTCCATTTTCAGACCAGTACATTATCAATTTAGGGGATACCAAAATGAAAATTCAAAGTCAGTCAGCCCAAAGAATAGAGTCTAGGCATGGATGGTCTGACTGTAAACTTGTGGTAAAGCAAACACTAAAACTTGTGGTGAAGCAAAGGCTAAAACTGTGGCAATTAAAGGCTCAAACTTTTGGCAAAGGCGGTGGTAAATCACGCCCAGTTCCAGCAGGGAAAAGGTTTAAACAACTAAAATGCTTTTATGCTATATGGTAGTTATGATGTATGACAGAGTAACTAAATTAAAACCAACCACTGTTATCCTCATTTCTTCTATATATCAGTCAGACTCACACAACATATTACACAACAATTAAAAAGGCTAAAAAATTTAGATTTTAAAAAATACAAAATTTAATATTAGTCAGATTGTCAATAAAATTAAGGTATTTTCTTTTTAAATTTGGATAATTGTAACTTTAAAGAGTGTACTGTAACTATATAACATTGTATAAAATCAATAAAATTTATATTTTGTATCAAGATATTGTCAGAAGTTCATTTACAAATTGGATTCTAAGCTTTTAAAACCATACATAAAATCTTATTTTCTTTAATCAAAATTATCAATAATTATCTTCAAGAAACTTACATAGAGCATTGTTATCCTGTACCATGTTACAAAGCACATGTATATATAAAAGTTTAAACCAGACATCCACACTGTCTCACATTAGATAAAGAAATCCATCTTTTATCCTCATTGTTCCTTTGTGGTTATTCCTTTGTCGTCATATTTCTGTTATCCTATGAAAAATGTAATATAAACAAATATATCACAAAATATCATCACAATATTGTATCTCTTTAAACCAATTAAAACAATTAACAAAAAAAAAAATTCACACACTTATGTAGAGATGGTAACTTTGCTCTAGATATTTAACACAAAGGAAGTTCAAGAATCGTAATATTCTAACATACATCAACTTTACACTGTATCATTATGTAACACAAAGTCTCAACGCATTGCTTACACTGATTCTTTTACAGTGATTTCCATACCAACATTCATAATCCATGCGTGTGTACGTAGTTTTAACATCTCTCCCGAAAATATATCAGTTTGCTACTAAAAATAAACATTGAGGCTGCTCACTAACAATTAGATTATTTTTATGTATTGACTAATTGGTTCAAATTACATGTAACCTTCTAAATGTAGTTGTCTTAACAACTCAAACTGTCTAAAAATGTCAGATTGATCTAGTTACATTACATTCCACAGATCAACATAAAATGTCATGACATTGTTTTAAAAATCAATAAAAACTACTCAATGTCTGAAAGTGCATTCCAAATATTTTCCAGAGTGTTAATTGCTCTCACCAAGTGTGACTTCAAAGTATAATTTCTTTGATACAGGCATCATTCCCAGTGCTGTACAATTTCAATTTCTATTGATCACAAATCCAATATTTCCATGCAAAACAGAAAAATGAATAAAATCACTTAAACACTACACTGCCGAGTATCTTCCTCCAAAAAACATCAGGAAATCTTATACCCTCTAACTTCAACCCCTCTAAATATCCATTTAAAGCAACAATTAGTTTTCCCTCTACTAAAATCATGAAAAATGTGACTCGTAGAGTAAAATGACTGAGTCACACTCCCAAAGAGCACGGAGTGTTATTTGCCCATGGAATATTGATAACCCAAACAATTGGCATGAAGTTAAATCTCTCCATCGGTGATTATAGATTTTTATTTTTTTTCAGTAGGCCAGGAATATAGTAGGGATCGAGAGGAAGGAGATGTAACAAAGTATAACGTTATTTCAAGTAATGTATGACTCAGCAAGCTAGCTTTTTTTTCTTTCCTGAATTGTTCTTATTTTTTTCTTTACAGTTAGAACCAGGGAGATCATTCCTGATTAAAATATGGTATATAGGACATGTAGAAACTTTTAAAGGCTCACCAGGATGTGACTTGCTGGTCATATATAAACAACACACACCAAGTTTAAATTAGTTATAATTTGATAAAGTGGCGAGGGTATATAAAGAAACTGTGGCAAGAGTAAAGAAAGAGCAGTTTTTGTTATGTTGCTGTCTTAAAGGTGATGCCCTGGTAGTATTGTCATACCTCCACCAACGAAAGAAGAATAGGCTACGGAAGACTCGGCTTGAAAAGACGTCCTTGATAATACTACAGTGGACCAGCATAGATGCTGATAAATCTCAGCCATATGGTTCATTCCGTCGCCCAGTATCAATAAAACTAAACACAACAACAACAATAGTAAAGAAAAAAGTGGCGAGGGTGAAGTCAAACAGTGGCGAGGGTAAAGAAACTAAACAGTTACATTCATACAAAGACTTTAGTATTATTTATTTACGCTTGGTATTTGAATCCTCCTGAAACCAACCAGTACAGGAAACAATTGGACCATCGCGGCCGTAGATGGACTCGAACCACCTGTCCCTTGGTTGAGAGGTAGACACCATATATTATAATACAAGAAAAGCATAAATTATAAAATTATAGTGAGGTCACCCTGTGGGTTCCAGCTGTAATTGCGTCCTTATTCTTCAACAGATTACAGATGTTAAGCACAAAAAGGTGCATTTACCCTCTATTGTTTCCACATTATGCTGGGGATGGGAAAGAGACTCATTTTGTCAAATATTAAATTTCTGGAAATTACCACAGCATCACAAAAATCAATTATAGTATATTGTCTACTGCAATATTAACTTAGTTCTGTTAAATCATTAACAGAAAAGTTTATAAAATAACACAAAACAATGGTCTAGGTGGGTCTTTAAGACTGAATAAATGCCATGCATGTAACAATTATTTCAACAGCCTAGTATCTTGTAACAGGCAAACTCACAGATAAATATATACAGATGTTTTAAGAACATTTATTTTTCTACAACCTTTTTATTGAAACTTAAGCATCAGAAATCAATTAAAGTTGTCATTAACTGTTAATACTTTTCAGTACTATCAGATTATAGACTTATACGCTTAGTATCTTGGATAGCAAAGTGCCTCAATTAATAAAGGATATCAAATTTTGTTTACACAAAAGGAACCAAATTACTGTTAAGGAAAATATATTCTAAAATATTTTGCAGGTTTTGTGGGTCTGTAACATGCAATCCTGTAGAAAAATGGCAGTCCTGAGACCGGAATCTATGCCAGGGTTGCAGAAAACCTGGTTACTGTCTGAGGAAAGCCAAGATCATTCAGACGCTGACAAAAAATTCTTTAGCCCCAACTGTTAGACATTATACTGAAAAATCCTCCATATTTCAACTTCAATCCAACTCAATAGCAAAGACATATTTAGTGTACACTTCTACAAAAACATTTTACAAATGAAATATATTTTCTATAAAGTATATAAATGCATAACAAATTTGCATGGGCGCTCAGAGTTTAAGAGAACAATTCATGAAACCATGTACAATACAATGTATTTTCAAGATGTTATTCAATTAATGAACTTTATATTATATGCTTATTTTCAAGCTTAATTCCGTTTCACATAAAAATATCATTCTATTTTTACATTTAATTGCAATGAAAAAGCACTACAAATTGAAATAAAAATAATACCACATCAAAAAGTACAATTTACATCACCTGTTTTACATTCATTTCCTACAAATTCATTTAGCACTTATACTTCTTTACCTTACCTTTGAAAACATCTTAATTAATCCACAAACATTCATATAATGCACTTATAAAATGCACTATTAAAGAGCTGTTATTCTAAACTTCCTTTGATCTTAAATCATTCATTGCATGTTACGCATACATTACACATCGTCTTCATGATTGCATTACATGCAACTGTATTTTATTATTAGAGCAACAATATCAAGATATTAACTTTTTTTCCCTATATTTTTTTTTTTGCTATCAGTAAAATCGCGCATTGTGAACACAGAGTCTATCCACCATAACAATCGACGGTTTCAGTCATTACACTAATATTGATCGAGGCATTGCATAATTTTGTCGATTTAAGCCTCGCATTTATGGAAGATGATAGTAAATGTGCTTGTGGTGCCAGACAAAAATTTTCATGACGTCAATACGGCTCAATATAAATCAAGTTTATGTTACTGCTCAATAAACTTCGATCCAAAACTCTGCTCCAGATTTTAATGATTATCACACGACCATTATTTAATTTCCGTTATAAAAAGTGAAAAAATGAGTAGGCGATATTTCCATGTTTGTAAAAGACGTGGGTGATAATTCTGAAGCTGTGTATGGGTTTTTGTCGTCCCCATAAAACTATTGTACATTCAAGTAATATACAGTGTTAATGCATGTCTTTTATGAACAAAAAAAAAAGAAAAATTGCAATATTGAATATTTCTAGCACAAATGCTTAAACAAAACATCTATTGAATTATTGAGGGTACAGTCATTATGCAAACTTAGCAAAAAAAAATAAGAAATGTAATGTTAAGTTATAGAACTAGTATTGTTGCCATTCAATTGGATGAATAAGTAATTGTAAGAAATTAAAGTTCACATAATGAATATTAATCTTAAGCCTCTTTAATACATGTATACATGATTGTACATGTGTAATGTTTTAACTAAATCTAATGACAAATTTCCAAAATTCAAGTAAAAATCTGCCCAAAATGTAATCTGCCATTAAAAGAAAAAACATGGAACAAGACATAGTTATATTCCTAATTAATATTAAAATGAAAAAGAAAAAAAAATTTGCAGTCAAGTTTGATTACATGAAATTTTCTTTATCGCCATCCTGCATTGATACATTGATTCAGCGTGAAATGAAATATTCGATCTTACTTCAATAGAGACCATTTCCTACCGAAATGAAAACTTTGTTCTATATTATGCAGTAGACATTTTGTGACAGCACTGGGGGAGAATACGGTTTTAGATGTACACATTCTCTAGGGAAATCAATTTGCAGTGTTTCCACTTGAAAAACACTGACAGATTCACCAATTATCCTGCAAGAAAAGAGCAGAATTTAAATTAACAAAAACACGTAATAGTGCAATACAGTGTTCTAGTTGTTTCTTATTCTATGCCACAGGCTGTAAACCTGTACTTACAATATAAAACATAAAAAGTATGACAACATTCAGAAATTTAGGGAGGTTAAGTTGTATAATTTTGGATATGTTTAGTTGATTTGCCTTGTTTAAGATAATATGGAATTATCTACTGAAAGTCTCAGGGATTTCAAAACTAAAACAAAGTTTAAACTTGGTTTCACTGCTTATTCAAGTGGTGTCCATGGCAGAGAAGTTTAGGTTGTTGACTTCAAACCACTTGCCTCTCACTGCTGTGAGCTCGAATCCTGACAGGGACTTTGGATTTTTTCATGTGAGACAGCTATCCAGCTAGTTGATAGAACATCAGTGGTTCTATAGCTAGAAAACTGGTATATGAATGCAAAAGTTACAAATGTGAAGGAAGATATTTTTTCCTATTGTCACAGATAGGGCGAGAAAAATGTGCAGCCTGACCGGGAATCAAACCCAGGTCCCTCAAATGAGCTATCCGGTCGCTAACACACTAATTATCTCCCCTAATCAGTAAACAGTTCTGAATGAATGGTGACACTATAAATATCAAACCTTCAAAAAAGAAATAAACACAAAGACTTTCCTATATATATGACAGAACTATCAAGAGAGAGACAGTCATTCAATTGGTTGAAACGAACACATGTGCATGTATTCCAGGGAGTAATGACCTGTCCATGACACTCAGATTACTAATTCCTGGAGATGACCAATACATGTCTTACTGACTCACCACTGTAGTGACCAATTGACCAGTCAACATGATCTGTTATATTAATAGATTTTAGTACAACTACTAGTACTGGTATTGATTTGGTATAGAATGTACAGACAAATATTGGTGTTTTCATAATTATCATAGTATTATAGTATACAAATGAAGCAGGAGTGACTGGCAATATATAATATAAATTTGTTAAACAATCAGTTATTGTCATAGTAACATTTTCATACTTTTTATCATCATCGGAACCCACGGTACACATTCTGTATATATTACACATGTAGGTATACAGTAAATAGCGTGGGTTACCAAGGTTGACTTTTTATAGAATTTTTGTAATATAGAAACAGAGAACTGAAATTGTCTTAAGAGGCCACAATAAGTAAATTACTCTCTTGGATCAATCTCCAACATTTTTCGGTATTAAAACAGTTTGCTGTTTATTTTATGAACTACTTATTACATCTCCTTTTTTCATTACATTAAGTTACTTACTTTTAGGTAAAATTGTAATTTCAAAAGGAAATCTACCTTAATTAACAAGGCTCACAGTTAATCATGACTTTATGATAGTGTTAATACTTGTAGACAGAAAATATCTAGAAATTTTAGATAAACATTAGTAAATCTGATATTTTCTTTGTGACATAAGCAAATCAACATTAGATCAGAATTGAAGTCCTATTTAACAATACTGCATTTTGTTGTTGTTGTTGTGGGGTCACAATGATGAGGGGAGAATGTTATTTTTATTACAAACACTTCTTAGAATAACTATTGATGAACCTTAGAAATATACACATAGTTTTCAGTCTTTCCTAAGATTCAATACAATCATGTCTACAAAACAAAATAAAGTCAATAAAACTGTCAGCACATATAGATTATAGACATTTACACATCTATTACAGTTAATACTTCTATTACTATATAGAACTGGTCTCAAAAATTCCTAGCAAACTGACTACGATAAAATCACCCCAGAATTTTAACCACATAACAGGGCGTCTGTCGCCGAGTGGTTAAGGTCGTTGACTTCAAACCACTTGCCCCTCACAGCTGTGGGATCGAATCCTGACAGGGACTTTGGATCCTTTCATATGAGGAAGCTATCCAGTTAGCTCACGGAACATCGGTGGTTCTACTCAGGTGCCCGTTTGTGCCTGAAATAATGCACAGAAGGGGACCCTAGGTCTTCCTCCACAAGTAAAGCTGGAACGTCGCCATATGACCTATACTGAACAATGACCCACAGAATACCGTTCTGCAGCTCTACCAACTAGCTATCCTTCGCCTACACATCTTCTTCTCTAAATAGTAAACAGTTTTAAACCATGACATACCGTACTCCACTGCTATATTGAAATTCGCAATCGAATTTCTCAGCAATGCGAATAAAACTCCGAGTTATATGCAGTCACGGTCCCCTGTTGGGCGTCAAATGTCACAGGCCGAGAAAAATGTGTAGCCCAACTTGGGTTCAAACATTGGACACTCCGAATACCATTCCACAGCTATCCGTTACTTACACATTATCTCTCCTAAATAGTTAACAGTTCTGAAATGTGACAGATAATAGTTAACTTAAACTAAAGTTGTTTTACCTGTATAACCATCCTCAATTTTACTTTATAATTGAACAGACTTCAAGTTACTAATTAATATGAGCAACTGATCCTCTGTTACTGCCAAACCACAACCCCTCACAAATCATGTACATTTGGCAAAAATTGACTCCACAAAGTCATCTGAAATGAGACAACAAAAACAATATGCAAATTCATGTAAAATGTTACAATGGGCGGAAATGGAATTTTGAAAGGGGAGCTAATCCTCTTAAAGTTAAAGCCCTTGAACTTTAAAGTTTTGCTACATGTTCTTAGATTCTAGCTCTGATATCTTACATTTAATTCTGATACACTAATTGTTACTTTATTTAGTTATAATTTTTTTTCTATCTATGGTCACAAAATTTATATCAAATACACTGGTGTGGTGAACATTCTTAGAAAATTGGTATTTTTTTAAAGAAAAGGATTAAGTAGAAAGAAAAAACAAACAAACAACTTTTTTCGAGAAAGAAAAACAAACAAAACAACTTTTTACTTACTTATTTAATCTTGAAATGTTTAATTTTAGCAAAAACAATACTCACCATTTTTTTTTGTTCAATGGCGGCTTTGAAAATGAAGGGAATTAACTGTGGAGAACTGGTCCGTTTCAATCTCGATGCAGTAATTTCCCCTTTCTTCTGATTAGTGTGTATTATATCAAGGGAAGTAACTGCTACAATGAGTTTATGCAATATCCGACGCAATTGTCTCCCTTTGCTTCGCGATTGGAGTTTGATTTTTTTACCTCCCTCATATTTTTATTTTTACAAATTTCTTACCTCTGACTAAATCGAAGTGTAAGACATCGAAACAGCCTAACTTATTTTATGACACAATTCAGTTGTAGTTCCACGGCCTCATCCTAAAAGAATAACGGGGAATTGATTGCAAAGTCATGCCTACAGTAGCACGAACGTTTTGGCTATCAAACTGTTTGACACGTGCACCGTCAAGCCAAAATGATCTCGATGTCTGTTCTACAAGTCAATCAAGATGGACTAAGGCCCGCCATTAACGGAAGTTCAGATGGAAACATACCCGCTAAGAGCATCCGGGTCAAATAAAACAAAACCACCGCATTGTCAAACCGACAGTGCGTTGACAGACAAAATAAGATCTTCTTTGTGATTCAGGCTTCATTTTCTATCTAGCACTGTGAATAGTTGAGCACGCTGTCCTACTGACAGCTCTGGTTCACTGTATTGTCATCGTGTTCCCTGGTGCATATTGCGACGAGTTTGTGGTAAAAGAATGGCCTTTTGCTGCTTGTGTTCATATGTTATAGATTGTCTAAGCTCAACTTCATTTCATGATTGATTTCTATTTAATTTTCACAGAATCAGTGTCACCAAGTGCCCTGGCGCATACTGTCGGGGTTCGAGTTTTGTGTGTGTGTTGGAAAGGTGGGAGGTGAGGCTGGTGTCGGGGGTAAATACTAGCTAATAGCACTTTAACACAGGTTAATTATAGGCAAGACTTTTACAAAGAATTTTCTAAGTAACAGATCAGGACATGCTTTTATGTAATTGGAACACATCGACGATTATTCATTATCCGAAGACTGACGGAAAATGCCGAAAAGTGGCTTTTATTTATAGACTTGCATCACGTACATATAGTTGTAGTCATTCAATATATCCAACAATGCTTATATAACTATTTTAACTCAAGATGGGAAAAGAAATAATATTGAATCTGAATTTGTTAGTTCATCATGCATTAGACATACAGTATTTTAAATATATTTGATGAAAACTCTGGCTTTTGTTTAAGGCGGTTTTTGTTTTGGAACATTTCGAAGGTGTAATATTCCCGCCAACTTTTCATGTTAGAATTGTAGTACATTGTCACTGAGATGACTTAAGCATGCAAATATTTACATAGCTGAATATCTTATGAGTTTAATGCAAACAACATTTTTTCTCTCATTTTTACAATGTAAAATGTTATTTGGCGCTCATCTTAGGTAACTCAGTGAATTCATAAATCTAAACACTTTCATTTGCCATAACGTTTATCAGCTACCATAAAAGACTTCAACGAAGATCTCAAGTGTAACTATGTTTACTAAGCAAATATCAACGATAACTGATGGGTATAAAAACGAAAACCTCATCATTATGAAGTGAAAGAGATGTTAAATATGTTCGCAACCCAAATACAAGGAGTAGTTAAAATAAAAATAACTGAAATATTTATTTAACAAATTATATAATAGAAAGGAAAAAAATATGGAAAATATATAAAAGACGCCAATCAAAATGATTTATAAAAACCCAGCATGACATCGAAAGCAAATAAATTCGAATATAAAACATCATTGACAGGCAGAGAGAAAAAATAGGAAATTCTTCACTTTTAATATGAAAAAAAGAACTGAAAATTGAATTCAGAAAAAAGTGAAAATTTATTTTTAATACAAATATTTAAAAATTGCATCACAAAGGTTTAGACTTTTATAATCAAAGTAAAAAGGGTCGATCTGTTTTAATGTACAAGGTTCTTGTAAAGTTATTGACTATTTACCATATGCCAACAATATACACAGCCTAGCCGGCATCATCTTGCACATTCATTCAGTCCGCTATTTACTGTTGCTCATTTTTTCTCCATATTTTGATATATTTAAATCCCTTTAAATTCAAATGGTCGGTTCCAAATTAAAAACAGGACAAGTCCATCATACAATATAAGCAGGTTAAAGCAGCATGCTTCCAGATTCGTGCTAATCTTCAAGAAACTTTTTAAAATGTATTTAAAAGTAAAATAGTACGCGAAATAAACAAAAAGGAGTAAAAACACATTGCAAACGGCACTTAGAAAATCCACTGAAATTACCAACCAGAGGTCAAATTATATACAAATAGTCCTTAATTACTGCATGGTTGGTCCAGTGTCTTTCAAATAGAATATTCTATTTGAAAGACCCTGTTAAATACTGCAAAATCTGTCCTTAACCGTAAATTATTACTTGAATATTGAATGTTTTACTTTTCTTAAAGTCTTATATTAATTACTACATTTTTTCGCAATTTTGATTGGAGGCATGCAGTTTTAAGAGCTAACCTAATATACTACCAAATAGCTTCGTATTTATGATAAGGCAGGGTCTTTTGAAAGACCATGGGACACAGAGTTGTGTGTGTAGTGTACTTAAATTGATAAGAAATGTTGGTCAATTTTCTCAATTAACCTTATGAGTGAATTGTGGGTCAAACTTTCAATTACAGATAATTATCAAGGTTTATAGATGTATACATATGACGTTGTTAACAGTGTATAATAAGTATTGTTTTTAATTTACAATGTAGTGAAAATGTATTCATAAGCTACAAAAGTGATGCAAAATTAATATATACTAGTTAATTTACATCATGTATTAAGAAAATGTGATTGGATATAGAAACTCGAGAAGGCTGATATATAGTTATAGCTTGGAAGGATTTTACTAGAGGCGTCTGACCTGCACTAACAATGTATGCTGAAGCAGAAGAAACGGTAAGTTTTGTTTTAAATTAAAAAAATAACTTTAAAGAAACTTTCTATATAAATTAATGCATCAGGTGTTTTTCTCACATTATTTTTCTTTCAACAATAATTAATATCTTCACTGCAATGAAAGATTGAAAAAAAAAAGAAATGTCGGCGATGAACGGCGGCAAAAAGAAATAATGCACTTGTCCCACGTTCGTTATTGGTCGATCACCATAATCTTTTAGAATAATATAGCAAAAGCTGCATTTTTTTCCAGGATTCCATCTGTCAACAAAACGTCTTTTTACATTATTAGGCTAGTTTGACTGTCAAATCTACATTATTATTTCACTGGAATACATATATATATAGTTTGCTTCGACTGTCATCTATCACATCAGCTTCAAGACAGTGTCAAAATGTTTATTCGTATAAAAACATTACATGTTCATCTTCAAACATCAAATTTAAAACATGTATACAACGATATAATTAATTACTTGTTTGAAGATGATAAACACTTGATATTTATAATTAAAGATCAATCTATCGATATTTATGACAGGCATACTAGATCAACTTCCGGTCTCTCATCTTAACAAAGGCCATATGGCCGGATTTTATCCGATATCTCGTGCATAACATTAACTTGTCAATATTAAAGTGTTATCACAATACACTTAGTTACGTGCATATCTATAGTAAACGTCCATATATTTACGAGACCCTTATTGTACATGTTTGTTTGCATCCAATATTCCGTTATTCTTGTCTTCCTTCTTAGTTTATTTGAATTTGTTTTAGTTCGGTTGTGTTGGAAGCTATAATTAAGCATATTGAAACTCTCTCGAATTGATTCAATATTTTGCATGGAAGTCAAAATACTACTTAGGCTGCTTTTGTGACAAAAACTTTCACATTAAGCGCAACATTCTTGTGATGATGAGAGCATTCTCTAGAACCACTATTTCAATGTTATAAAACTCTTGTTTTGCCATTTCTAAAGGAGGAAAAATTATTAGTTTTTCAGGCATAATGTGTGCCTTTAAACGAACTGGGAATGATATGTTCTGCTTGTATGTCCAATGTGTGATAGTTATAGACAGATTCTTGTTGAAAAAGGCGTGCAACATCCCCATAAAACATAAAACATAGAGTGGCGGCATGGCCGAGTGGTTAACACTTCGGACTAGTAATCTTATGATCGCAAGTCGCATGGGTTCAAACCATGACAGGGGCAAGTCGTTGTTTCCTTGAACAAGAAACTTTACACTCATTGCTCAGTACTGGTTGGTTCCAGGAACGGATTCAAAAGTGTGATTATAAGCTAATAGCTTCCTACACAATCGAACTAAAATAAATTCTGTATGAACCAAAAGATTTTGAATTTCAAGTGATACTTGAAGTTGAGAGTTTTGTTCGCTAACAAAGATATGATAAAGATTTCAGCAACATGAATAAGCATAGTAACTACCAGTTATGTAGTAAAGATAATGGTTGATAAGCATATCAAACACAAATATTTTCAACACATATTTCAGTTGTCAAGTAATTGAAATTAGGTCTTTTTAAAGACCTAATTTTATTTTAGCGCGGATATGTTAAGAATGTGTTGTTTGACATGATAACTTATTGTCTTTGTGTGTTATAAGATAATCACTGCTAATCAGTCCACTTTAGATCTGAGTATGGCTGATAATAGATTTTTTAAGATTTTTCTCCGTGGCCGAGCGTTTAAGGTCGCTGACTTGAGTTCACAGGTCCCTCACCGCTGTAGGTTCGATCCTCACTCGGGTCGAAATGTTTCATGTGAGGAGGCCATCCAGCTGGCTTACGGAAGGTCGATGGTTATACCCAGGTGCCCGCTCGTGCCTGAATTAATGCCCGGAGGGGCACCTGGGTCTACCTCCACCAATAAAGCTGGAAAAAAATCGACGAAAAATCTCTAGGATGGCCCGACTTGAGTGTACGGTCGCCTTTTTATATTAGTACCTTTAGAAGTCTTCATTTATCGATCTTTTAAAGTGAATTGGTATATAATGGAAGACCTGTAATACAATTGTTAACGTTGAAAGTATTTAGTATAAGACATAAAAACAATCCACTTAAATAATTATTCATCAAAGTTGTCGGCAAATATGTGAGATACCTGATCCGATATTACATACATGTATATTTATACAGCAGATAGTTCAGTGTTCTAGAACGAAATATTATTATTCATCAGAAAAATGGTCATTCTTAATCAATTAGAACTTTATCAACATTTTGTTTTCAAGTAGCATTTTATGAGAAAATCCAAAAATGATATATTTCTATTGTTTTTATCAATATTTGAAATACTAATGGAAAATGTGCCCATTGTAGACCAATCCACTTTAAGGCGAATCCTCTCGGGGGGGGGGGGGGGACTGTCTAGCAAATGTAATGTAAATATGACGTCTCATAAAATTCTATATAACATTGAAAATTGTATAACATTTACTTTTGTAGCTCAGGTATTGTCAATATTGTACTATTATGCATATTGGATGAGACGAAAATTAATTAGTAAACATTCAATCATATATAAAATAATTTAAGGTTGCATTTTAACACGTGATGTGCGCTTACAAATTTACATATGTTGTTTTCTTTCAATACATTACCATGTATAAAACCCCAGACTTCGTACAGGACTAACCAGTTTGACAAAAGGATCAAATCTGCGTCCAGTAGAAATATCAAAACATCTACATAATAAATTGTTCATTTTCAAAGAAACTTTTGTCGCTTGCTGAGTAATGGTATTTTTGGGCTTCTGCAAAAAATCTAACTGATGAGAATACCATTCCATATATGTAAATTTGCCAACAAAATAAATTATTATAAAAATAAATATTATAAAAGTAAAATCGTACAAATCATAATAAGTTGTGCAATACAAATGATATAAACATCACGATTATCTAATCAAAATCGACGTTACAAAAGTGCAGTATTATGATACGCGACACAGTTTTGTCCTCGTTATCAACCTGCGGAAATACAAAATGTATTATTTGAGGAAATAGGTTATCAAACTTGATTATTCGTACAAAATTGAAATTTGATTGGGACTCTTAAGTCATGTATATACATAAATTACAAATACTGAAATTTAAACATGCGAACGTCAAACATACGCTTCGTCTTAAATAACAAAATTTAGTCTACGAGACAAAAATTTCCCTTGAAGGTTTAGAATCTTTGAGTCCAACGTTTTAATTTCTTCAAACGGGCGGATTTCTGACATTCAAATACATGTGTAAACTTCATTTAGACATATGGCAAAGCCGAATTCGGAATGTTATTTGGACCATAATCAAAGTAGCAAGTTTATATAACCTAAGCCACAAGACGAATGTTATATTGCAAACAACCCTTCTTCCTAACCTGTCAAAAATCTTGTTTAAAATATATAATATAGCAAATACCTTTTCATTGGAATGTAAAATATAGAAATAAAATAAATTTTTGATATGTCTCCAAGTTTGAAAAAAGGAACTATATGATACGTCTACATTTGCAAATGCCTATATTTGTAAAATATCTTTTTGATATACAGATTTTATACAGATTTTATTTCCAAATACATGTGGGTATTATACCCATGCAATACACAGCATGCAATACAAACATACATACATACAAAACATAACATCAAGGTCATTAAACATATATAACATATATTTTAACATTTACTATATATTTGAGACATAATTTTGATTTAATGTGAATAGCATAATTATAAGCACGGTTTAAATGAAGCACAAGTTTTGCATAAAAATTTTATATCAATTAAGTAACATTACATTTACCTTCTTAGCTAATATAATTTACGAATATTCAACATTTGTTCTTAATTCAAACATTTTAAAGATAAATGATATGTCTATACATTTGCAAATGCCTATGTTTGTAAAATATCTTTTGATGTATCTACACAATGAAGTGCCTATATTTGTAAAAAATCTTTTGAATGGTGTGCCTATAGTTGTGAAATATCTTTTTATATGACTACACATTCAACTGCCGGTATTTGTAAATTGTCTTTTTGAAATGTCTACACATTGAAATGCTTATATATTTGAAAAAGCTCTTTTTTGATATGTCATAACGCTGAAATGCCTATATTTGTAAAATGTCTTTTTTGATATGTCTGCACATTCAATGCCTATATTAGTATTTGAAAAAAGATATTTTTGATATAATGCGAATTATGTTGATTTTGAAAGCACGAACCCTAGGTTTACTTATAATTGTAATATTAGAGTAAACCAGTCTGTAGAAATAAAAAAGGTATACTAATTCAGTATTCATTCGCTAAAAGGTTTTGTGCATTAAACTATCGAGGTTATATATGACGTAATGGTACATGTATCTAAATAGCTAAGACATTCTTGTACATATATTTGATGTATATTCACAACTTCCCAACACTGTTTAATCAACGAGATACTCTGAATGTGGGCCTTCCAGTTAATCAGGGATGTAAGATACGTTCATGTTTTTTTCCCGAAAACCGACAAGCACCATGATAAATTGACAAATCTATTAAGTTTTAAATATCTGTTAGAACATGATTTGTATAATGTTCAAAACCGTTTAACGTTACTTTTCTTATAAAATGCGCATTTTGAGATTCGAAAAATGTCAAACCGCTCAAAGAAAATAAAACAATATTCACAAATCTGACAGTACTCTCAGTATTTTGATTTATCACCATGCACCCCCCCCCCCTCCAAAAAAAATCAGATAAAATCATATTATGCCATTTCATCATTTCATTTGCATGACTGCAAGTAAACTGAAGTGTATATGGTTTAATTTACAACAGCAACAACAACAACAACTACAGCAACTACTGCAACAACTAAAGAAATAAATAAAAAAAAACAACCCAAAAGCAAAACAATAGAGTCATGTTTTTATAAATTTAGATTAATTTTTGTTGAAGAAAAATAAAAAAATAATTTATCACGGTTAACCAGTTCAAATGATAA